TCTTCTAATTCTCTAATTCCACCCTAGACAGCCTCACCCTTTCTCACGGCTTCAATGATCACATCTCTGCTGATGACTACCATCTCCATTTTGAGATCCTTTCCCAGTATCCAACAACATAGTCAACACTTCTATTTGTAAATCTCAAAGGAATCCTAAATACCTTTAAACTGAGCTCGTGATTTTTCCTGACAAACCTGGTCTTTCTCTAATTTCCCTCATCCCACCTCATTTTAATAAATTCTTAGTAATCTTTCAATCTCAACTCCAATTCCAGTCCTCAAAGAACCCCTCCTAGACCTCCCAATGAGGACAAGTGTGTTTTGCTTAATGTTTTTACTGCATGTGGCTGCAAGCTCTCTGAGAGCAAGGATTATTCCCACTTTGCTCACTGTTTTATTCCTTTCAGCATGGTGTCTGGCAACAGTAGATACTCAAGAATTTACTGAATGGAATTACTAAAGAAAAACAAAATGTAAACATTCACTATGCTATTTTTCTATATAATATAAAGCTCTATTTTACCAGTTTCCCAATTTTAAAATGTTTTAATTAATAACTTAGAATGTGGCCAGTATAATCATAAAAAATTTGCAGATATGCAAATAAAAAGATCTATGTAATTGAAAAGTCTTTCCTAGCACATCCGCAATTCCATAAAGGACAACAACTAAACAAGCAAACAAAAAACCCCAAAAATCAACAACAGAAAACCCGCAAGCTTTAGCAAAATAATCAAAATGCCAAAATATTTTAAGAAAAAGCATTCAGAACAGTGAGCATAACTTCAGGTTGCCAATTCCATATTAATAGAATGAAAGCAATAACCTTTTCCTACCTGAATTACTATTACATTAGTCAATGTACCTTTTTTGCATTTTTTCCTTGGCATCAGCTCTCTTGGAAGTCTTCTCCAATCTATGTGTATAAAGGAAAAATATAAAAATTGCAGTTTTCTCTAGGAATCAGTGGCACTGGATATAACTATTTAAAGAGCACAAAGACAGTTGTCCAGGCAATGACAATAAAATTTCTTAGTATCTGACTATATGCATTCAGCCTGAAAGATAACAAAATAAAATATAACAGTGCTATATTTTCTCTTATAAAGAAAATCAGTTCATTAAAATAGCTTTAAAATAGCGCTATCAAATTTGTCAGAAACAAAAAATCTTACAGTAATTCTTCATGGGTGTTAGGATTATAACTGTTTTTCTTAATTATTTATTTATTTGACTACTTTGTATTTGTAAGTTTTCTGTAGTTGACATGTATTTCTTTCGTAATAAGAAATTTTTTTTCAAAAGTTAATGTATGGGACCACAATCCCAACCCAGGCAAAATGAAACAAACATTTCTAATAACTATCTGAAAACTTTAAAATTAAAAATATAAGTAGCTGTGGAGAAATAAATTCCCTCCAATAAATTTGCCTGTATTACCCAAAGCATTACTCTAATTTTTCACTTTCCTCTAATTTTTAAGCAGTTAAGCAGAAAATTGAAGCAACATAAAATTAGATTAAAAATACTGCCTGCTTACTAAAGAAATTTCAGTGCATTTGTACAAAACATTTAAATCTCCAGTCATTTTACCTGAACTAATAAATTTTATTTTGAATATATTTTAGTTTTTATAAACTACTTATTGAAGATCATGGAAGATTATGAGAGAGTATGTAAAGAGAATCATTTGGGAGATTAATGAAGTAGAAAAAGTGAAAGAACTAAGAGTGTTCCCAAACTTTCAACAGTGAAAAGACAGAGTACTACAACCTGTGAAAGAGAGAATGCTGTTAATGCCATTTATGCTTTTACATAAGGGTAGTTTCTATAAAACACCAAAGACAAAAACATAAAAGGAAAGTTAATTAAAAAATGAGGAGACCTGGGTTCTAATATGACACTGTTTTTTTTTTTTGTTTTTGAGACAGAGTCTCACTGTGTTGCCTGGGCTAGAGTGCCGTGGCGTCATCCTAGCTCACAGCAACCTCAAACTCCTGGGCTCAAGCGATCCTCCTGCCTCAGCCTCCCGAGTAGCTGGGACTACAGGCATGTGCCACCATGCCTGGCTCATTTTTTGTATATATTTTTAGTTGTCCAATTAATTTCTTTCTAATTTTAGTAGAGACGGGGTCTCGCTCTTGCTCAGGCTGGTTTCGAACTCCTGAGCTCAAACAATCCGCCCGCCTCGGCCTCCCAGAGAGCTAGGATTACAGGCGTGAGCCACCGCGCCCGGCCTATGACACTGTTTTTTATTTACAAAATGAATAAGCTGGATCAGATCTCTATAGCCCCTTCCACCTTGTCTATATCCAAGGTAAAATGTTGAAAACAAAACTCTCTTAGGTATGGTTCTGTTAAAAAGGCATCTTAACAACTAAAATTAGTCCATGTCTGCTGAAAGAAAGGAAGATCCATAAGCTTGGCTTAAAATATCCTTAAAACTAGATTTTTTTACTTTCTCCTCAGCAGCTCTAAAATCATTCAGGAGCAAAGAAGTTAAGTGCTTTTCGGTACTACCAATTAAAATCGTGATGGTGGCTAGCGAAATTGGAAAGTTTAAAAGGGTTTAACAAGTCCTATTTCTATAAAAAACGTATTTTAAGAACTTCCACAAAAACGCTTAAACTCTTCCTTGTTACAGTGTAAAAATCTTTTCATCTTTGCTTTCCCAAAGATTTGCATTACTAATTAATTATAAGAAAAGAACCGGACTTGGTTTTCCTACAGTGAAATTATAATAAAAAACTTATCCTAAAAAAAATATGGGGTAGGGTGACAGTCTTTAAAAAGTACTTTTATATTGTCTGTTTTGTAATTACCTGGTATCCATTCTTCTTTGTAGCCCTTCATATATCTTTTACTATATCTTTCAATATCTACAAGAAAAAAAGAATAAAGAATTTGTTAGGAAAATCAAGAAGAAACCTGAACTTAAGCTATTCCTTTAAGATAACTGAAACATCTTTTATTTTACATACAGCTAGTTTCCTACATTTGTACATCATGTGTTCCTAAGACATACTGAAAAGTTCAATGAGAATGATATGCTTAAGAAGGTGGCAAGAAGCAGCTGGGTGTGATGGGCTGGGGGTGAGCAAAGACTAAACCCTGATTATGGTTCTCAGAACCTGACAACCTGACTCACCTGGGAGAATATTCACAAAAGCCCAGAGTCAGGTCAGGAAGCCCCTTGCATACAAGGGCAGGGAAGTACAAATAGTAAGAACTGCTCAAAAAGAAATTCAAAAATTAAAATTAAAACTGGGTCTCATGGACCCTGATGCTATAGAGAGAATTAATAAGCCAAACTCCATTTATTCAATAACAGACCTTGTGGCCAAATTGCAGGTAAATGTGTAATTTCCATTAAGCTTTTGAAATTCCAAGAATGGCTTAGAGAACTGTCACCACTCTCACCATTATGTTTCTATCTGTACTTCAGGAACCTGAGCTGGAAACTCTACGTTCTCTATATGATTCTCTCGTGGCTAAAATTCATTAAAATGACATTCACAGGTGTTTTTGCTTTGTTATAAAATAATAAAGTCGTTTCAAAGAAAAGACTCGTAATGTGTATAATTCTACCTGAAAATATTATCAACAAACTTTGAAGACATCACAACATGAAATACGTTTATTCCATGACAGATTTCAATGCCCTGAGCCACCAGCAACTTGACTATCAGGAAGTCTTGAGATCTCCCACCCTAATTGTTTGTCCTGGTCTCTCGTGACTTAGTTCTTCACAGTAATCCACAAATCTCTCTTTCCTAAAGCACACAGGTGACAAGTGACAGGAGAAGGCTGGTGAAGGTACACTCATGCAACACCTCTATTTGGAATATGGTTCCCTCTGATTTTGGAGTACTTTTGTTCAGTCTGGACAACTGTTTTTCATTCATAGTGTATATATTATATAAATATCTATGCATATATATATATACACATACACATCATATGAACCTGTATACACACATATAAATGTATATATTTTATTAAAAACCTGTATTTTCAACATTAGTTTTTTTTTAATACACTGCCTCAGGAAAGAGAGATAAAAATGAAGATTTCAAGGAAAATTTATTTGTATCATTTAGAGAATTCTATGCAAGAGTTTTCTCCTGAATGAAACAAAAGCAAAAGATCTCTTATATTTCTAAATACTTTATTGCATAGTTATCAAAGATAAAGTACCCCCTTAATCCAAGTACAAGCCAACTACTCCCACAAATCAACAACAAAATTATGTTCTTAATGTCACTGTCTAAAAGACTCACATAAATACTTTAATGACTTGATACACTTTTAAATTAGACATGTGCTTTAATAACAGCTGATTCAGATAAGTAAATCTGTCCCATAATCTAGAGAAGAGACCAATTTTAAAAGGACCAAAGTGTACCCCGCACTATTATTTTTTCTAGTAAGAATATTTATTAGTTCATTTGATCTTTTTAAAAATCTTTAAAATGACAGCTTTAATTTCATTTTTAAACTCAAATAGATGAAAGCATGCAACATAATGAAAGTTAAAAAATTCAGTATTTTTGAGATAAAATATCTCTCATCAAACCATTATATAACTTCAAGGAGCTATTGTTTGTAAAATTAAATGAACTTGTATAAAATGCTTCTTATAATCATAATAACAAGTAAGATCACTACATAAGACTTCCTTTTTTGACTCTGCCAATTCTTTTAGAGAGAGAAAAATGGAATTGAAATGCATTTTTAGTACTTATGGCATGAGATGATACTATATGAATTTCTCATGTTTTAATGATGTTGTTTTGAGAACTCAAAGATGATATTGATCTCTTTAATGCCAACACTCAAGGGCAGAAACTGAAAATCAATATAGTTCTACCGTTCTAAACAGCTACTTAGGAATAGTTTCCCTTCCTATAAAACCACTTCCCACTTCCAGTCTGAGACTGCTAAGACTTCTCCAACTATAATTTCTCCTCAATATATATATCATATTTATATATGTCACCAATGAATATATATTTCATATTTCATATCATATCAAATACATATATGGTAAACCAAAAAAGTCAAGGCTTTAAAAAAGTTTAACCTAACTATTAAACAATCAGAGATGTGCATAAAGATGTATGTATAATGATAGTAATCATAGCATTATATATATGAGCAAAAAACTGGAAATAATCTTAAGCCTAATAGCAGGGAATTAGTTATAATTAATAATGTTATATCCATACAGTGAAACAGCAGTTAATAAAACTTGTATTTTCCAAGAATAATAAGGGTATGTGAAAATGCTAGTATGCCATAGGGAAAAAAATGAAGATACAAAATAATATGAATTCAATTTTGTAAAGAGAATACACGCAAAGGAAAAACATCTAGAATATACAATAAAATATCAGTCATTCTTTAGATACAGCATGGGTAATTTTTACTTTTTAAAAATATTCCTGTTTTTCCTAATTTTCACTGAACATATAAAACTTCTATTGCGAAGTTTTAAAAATAAAATCACAAAGTTTAAAGTATTTTTTCTGTTAAATCAACATAAATATGTTTTTTAAGATAGTTGATCAATTCTGATTGGATCAAACCAATCAGTATTCAATGATCACATAACTTATGCTTAAACATCTGAATAAATTAAACTACATAATCAAATAGTCCAATACACACCTTGTTTTCCCTCAGGTGTTTCAATAAAATAAGGCATTCTTTTCATTGTTTCTCTTGACTCCTGTTTCAAGGCCAGCATGTAATCTTCACCTTCTCCTGTTTTCAGTGGCACTGGCTTATAATCTGTATCCTGTTTAAATTAGAGACAAAGGTTCTTTTAAAGAAACTAAATATTTTAATATCCCTTTTATCTACATTCTAAAAAATGTCACTTTATTGAAATATTATGTTTTACAGGCATTAAATTTTACAGTCAACTTAAAAGATGTTGAGCTTCTGTAATCTGTAAACTTTAGTCCATTTCCTGCTTTGCTCTCATTTTAGAGGTAGAAAATATGCATAATTTTCCTATTGGCCCTAAAAACTACACTAATAATCATTTTGCCATATAGTCTGTTGACTAATGTAATTCCATATGGTCTTACTTTTAAGATATTTTTAAAAATCAAGGCACGCACAAGAGAGCAACTGCTTTAGCTTCCTATTAACCTCAACTAGTGTTGGTGTTATTGGTAGGAGCGGTAGTATAAAAAAAAAATAGCAGCAGCTATCATTTAGCAAGTGATTACTATGACCAGGATGTACTCAATATTCAACATCCACTATCTCATTTAAAGTACTACCAATATTTCTCCTTTTACAGTGAATAAATTGAGAAGTAAACAATTTGTAATCCTATATGAGTAAATGGCAAAGCAAGAACTTGAAGCTACATTTTAATTTTTAAAATTATACACATGCATGTATACATATACATGTGTGTATATGTATACATATAAACAGTATATTATTAAAAAGTGGGTCTCCAGGGCACATGGTAAAGACATTGCTGGTTTCAGAGGATAAGGATAAGGTACATTTTTAAAATTAGACTCAGAATGTATACGTTCATGCTACAACAATTTATTGATTTATTGAGTACCTACTACAACCCAGACATGGTTAGGTAACAGGAGATACTGATGACGAAATGGTCAAAGTCCCTGCCTACATGGAACTTACATTCTAGGGGACAAACACAGAGCAAATAAGTAAGCCAATGAGGTGATATATAATTTCAGGTAGTGATTAGTGACGTGAAGAAAATGAAGGCAGGTAGAGGGAGAGTGACTGACAGAGTGCATGGAGGATGGAGGTGGCTGAGCTACACAGGGTAGGCAAGCATGGCCTTTTGAGAAAGTCACATTTTAACAGAAATCTGGATAAAATCAGGAAGCCATCCACGCAGACAGAGAACAGATGGTTCCAGCTCGGAACCAGTAGGGGCAAAGGTCTGAGGGAACAAGGAGGCCAGCATAGCTGGGGAATGAGAAGGCTAGTGGAAGCAGAAGGGTCAGAGAGACAACAGAAAGGCCGGATCAGACAGAGCCTGTTAGCCAAGAGTGAGGAATTTTAATTTTATTCCAAGTATTAAAAAAACACTATGTACTAACATTTCCAGCAGTTAGAAGTAATCGCCTCATATATAGAGAAGAGGTGTTTTAAAAGAAATCACTGTAAAGTAACAGTATGCTTATACCTGAGATATGTCTTTGTTTTTACGCTGTACCAAATATCACAAAGGTGAAATACCAAGAGCAAAAGGCAGAGACTCCCTAAGTGAGATGCTAGATCCCCAGATACATTTGTCCAGGGTCCTCTGCTGACATAAATCTTTCAACAAAGAACTTTTCCTTTTGAAATGGGGAAAGGATTCCTGAAGGGAAAGGTATCTGGTTATTTATGATTTTTCATTTTTATACTGCAGCACATGCACATCTGGAAATGTAAGCTTACATTTTAAGCTAAATATAAAGCAAAAACATTGAACATCATGTCAAGTATGCTTGCAGTGTACTCACTAAATTTAAAACAACACTAAATGCAGCACAAACGCTTATACTATTTTGAGAAACAGTAACAAAATTCAAAATGATGTTGATAAAATAAGGAAATAAGCAAAAAAAAAAATTTTAGTGGACAAAAAAGCCAAGTGGTATACTAAGGAGCACAATTAAATTCTATAGCTACAAGATGAGAAAAAAATTATTAAAGTGAAGGATGGTGGAGTGGGAACTCAGAACCATTGTAAAACCTAACTTGACTTTTTCAAATGTAATTTTGATATTGGAATACATCAATAACAGCAATAGAAAATGCAAGATTTGAAAACGAATTCTTTCTTGGTTCACACACCACTGAGTATATTCAAGGAAGGGTATATACACCTTTGTTTTCTGTATTTTAAGAAAGTAGTCTAAAAATAAGGAAAATTTCAGGGAAGAACAGTGGCAATATTTAAATTAAAGGTAAGTGAAACATACTCTCTTTTACTTTCTATACTTGAGGATATCCTAATAATATTACGTATTCAAGTCCTATATAGAATTTTAATTTTCTCTGAAACATGAAAAAATACACTGTGAGAATTCACGTGTCAACGTACTTACAGGAAACAGTGGGGGTGGTTTCAATACTACATCAGGTAACTTTTCACCTCTGCTAAATCCAACGGCCTCAATATTGAAGGTATAAGCAGCACGTCCTCTTCCTTTATTCCCAGCCATCAGAACTAGTTACACTGGAAGAGCAGGCAAATTCTGAAAGACACTATTAATGACTAAGATTTATTGAATCATATAAAAAAGGAAACCAACATTTTAAAGCAAAATATAAAACTCCACCCCTTAAGTAGCATCGCCGATTTAAAATAATTTTGGAAAGCAAAACACGTGAAGAAATAAACATGTGACTATTTGCTGAAGCCCTCCTATCCAGCCACATTTGACAGGGGGGATGACAATGGCCTGTACACCCTCCCCCAGGTCCCGGGTGGAGGGCTGGCCCTGGGTCTCCTTTGAGATGCTGCCCCGACCGCTGCACAGCCAACTGATGCAATTCTCTCTACCGCTCTGTGGTTTGGCAACAGGATCTCAGATGCACGTAAAACGTGTGGACAAGAAAAGGCTGGCTGATGAGGAAAGGACATCTTGCTTTTTCCTAACAAACTGAAAACTATTAGTCATATATACTGTAAAACTTTAAATTATTTATCCTAGAATATGAGTGTTAGAAAAGATCCCTGAGATCTAGTCCAATGTCCTTTCCTCTTAAAGGTAAGGTACACCTACACCTGTCCTCCAACTTTGGGGACAGTATCACTAAGACCCAAGTCTTACACTGAACGTCTGAATGGTCTGAACCATGACTACACTATAATATGAGAGCTGAGCTGGCAGTGTATTAACAGGGATCCCTACACTAGGATTCTTTCAGTAGAACTCTGTGTTCAACTGCAGTGATGATTATAATGCACATTCTTTACCAGCTGGTAGTATTGAGCCTCTTTTAACCCTGTGAGCCTGACAGAGCAATGATATATCCTCTGGACCACCTGAGCGGAGTCAGAGGCATGCTTTTGATTTCAGCCCCCAGCTCAGTCTCATTTCTCAATCTGGTCACTTTGCCCTCCTTTCAGCATTACGCAGCCACAGCACTTCCCACCGCTGCCGTGCTCTTCACCAGGGTTTCTTGCCAGGATAAAAAGGTCACTAACGTTACTCTTCTCGATTTTGCCACATTAATAGCGAAGGAACACCTCCTAAGAACAAGCGGCTACTTCTTTGTATCTTTTTGACTGCATAATTTTAATATGTATAGTACTGAAAAAAAAAAGCCTGAAAAATCCCAGCTCACTTTATCACAGGGCCAATGCTTCAAAGCAAGCAGTTCTCACCTCTGGCTGCCATTAGAATCACTTGGGTAGCTTAAAAAACTATAGTGGTTTTCAAAATGTGGTTCTCAAAGAGTGCTATCTGCTACTCAGGAGACTGAGATGGGACGATCATTTGAGGGCAGGAGTTTGAGACCAGCCTGGGCAACATATGGAGACACTATTGCTTTAAAAAAAAAAAAAAAGTGAAAAAAATTAGCCAGGGAATGCCTGTCTGCAGTCCTAGCTACTGGGGACGCTGAGGGAGGAGGATCACTTGAGCCCAGGAGTTCAAGGTTGCTGTGAGCTATGACAGTACCACTACACTCCAGCCTGGGCAACAGACAGAACAAGGGGAAGGGAAGGGAAAGGGAAAGGGAAAGGGATAGGGATAGGGAAAGGGAAAAGAGCACTGTCTGCAGCAGCACCACCTGGAACTTGATAGAATGCAAATTGTTCGGCCCCACCACAGACCTAAAGAAACAGAAACTCTGGAAGTAGGCCCAGCAATTTGTGTATTAACACACTGACTGCCACGTAAGTTGTATTTAACTCAGGCTAGTTTGGAGCCTGGGGCCACGTGAAACAAAACCCTTCCACCCTTCTATAGGTTTATGAAAATCTTACTTGTTGATGTTCTTATTGTTACAATTAAGATTGACAATTTAATTCTAAAAATGTGGATTGCATTGCCTACAACTCACGGCACAGAAAACAATAAAAAATAACAAATTAGAAAGGATTATTTTGTTTTAATAAAACACCATGGCCCCAGGGAAAAAAAAATTTTTTTTTTAGTGTGGTAGTCAGTCTTAAGAAACTCTCCAGGTAATTCTGATGCATGCTAAAGTTTGCGAATCACTTAACTGAACCAAACAAATTGTCAAATTGAGATCTCTTGGGGTGAGGACTGGTCCTTTTAAAAACTTCCCAGGTGATTCTCACATGCAGGGAGTGTTGAGAGTATCGGGAGAACCGCTCTGGTGGAAGTCTTAGCTACAAAGTAGGAGGAGTTGGGTTAAAATACACATGTAGAATCAGGGGCTTCATAAATCCCATCTTTGGAGTTTAAAATTATACAAATTATCCTCAGCGATTTAAAGAAATTTACCTCAAAGGTGAGATGACTACAACTGCTGTAAATCTATGTAGCACTCAGGATGTGACGGTCCAAGCTCTAACTCATTTGCATGGAAGGGCAGTGCCACTCTTGGAGGTCCAATGACTGGCAATTTTAATGGCCTTCTACATTTAACGCTCCAGTTACACACACAGAATCAAATCATATATTCAGTATTTCTCTGTGATGGAATATTGTTTCCTCTTTTCTATGAATTACTCGAGTAGGATGGCATTTGATTTGATATAACGGCTATGAAACTAAGGATATTTTCAGATATGATTTTACATTATACATTTTGTAAATTCATCCTTACATGCCTCCATATTTGAAAATTTTCCTTCATAACTGCTTGAACATTAAAAGTTGATTTTACTATCTTTAATGCTGCCATTTTAAACTACAACTCTATGCCTTTTTTTCTTATACTTAGGTAGACAGTGAGGGATTCCGGGTTTCCTAGGGATAAAAGTAGGTTCTGTTGCCCCCATCTTGCTCCTGCCCAACCCCGATTCTCCATACCTGGGGGAGGAGGGAATAAACACCCTGCGAATCTGCCGATCAGAACTTGGCAGGCCAGCTGCAAAAGAATGCAGAGGACTCTCTAGCCCACGGGCCAAGCCACATGGGTACCATAAAGTCGGGAAAGTGACCTAGAACCCACATACGTAGTTAAGGCTCAGGTCATGTGACTCCCAACTGTCTAATCAAAGTGGTTCCATGGTGACTTCTGAACTCCAAGGGAGGTCCCTATCCAGACAAGATAAAACAGGACGCAGACCATAGCCAAGCTCTCCCTTTTTGCCCTTCCTTTTGCCTACCCTGCTGCGACAATGGGTCCGGTCATCATCCATGGCATATGTACCATGCTCTGTAAACCTATATCTTGCTCTTGCTGTATAATCCTATCTTTCTCTCCTCAATAAACCTCACTTTCGTGCTTGCCTAACTTTAGCATGTCTGGTCATTCTTCGGCCATAAGCGTGCCAAGAACTGACAGTTTCAGACTGAAACCTAACACTTACTTTTACTATACTTAATACATACAAAAGTATAAAAAGAACAATATAATAAACCCCCAAGTACCCACCACTCAGCTTCAACAATGATCAATATATGACTAATCTTACTTTCTCTATACTCTCCCACTCCCATGCTTCAGGTTATTTTAACTCTTCAGTATGTATCTTCACCAAGAGTTAAGGGCTTAAAAAAAAAATCACAATAACATTACATCTAAAATTTTAACAATTCTTTACTATCATCTTAATACCCAGTGTTCAAATTTCCTCAGTTATCACATAAGTGTTTTTACAGTGAGTTTGTTCAAGTTAATATATAAAAAAAAAATCCAAAAATGACATTGGGTGACATGTCTTTCAAACCTCTTTTAAACTGTAGTAGTTCCCCTCCCTTTTTTTCTAACTATTTGTTGAAGAAACTAGGTCACTGTCCCGTAGGATGCTTCCCAAATTCTAAGGTACAGTGAATTACCTAGGAATGTTGTTAAAACGCAGATTCTGATTCAGTTGTCCTTCGTGGGGCCTGAAAATCTGCATTTCTATCAAGCTCTCAGGAGATACTGAAGCTGCTGATTTGCAGACCGCACTTTGAGTAGCAAGGTTGTACAATTTCCCATATTCTGGATTTGAATGACTGTATACCTGAGATGTGGTTCAACATATTACTCTATTCACTATATGTAATTCCAATAAATAGGTGAACTAGAGGCTTACTCAGATTTGGGTTTGGTTTTTTTGCAAGAATAATAAAAGATGATGCTCTTTTTCCTACTGCATCACATCAAGATGCACATGAAGTCTCCCTCTTGGTGATCAGGCTGGTCAGTGGGTTCAGGCGCTATCGGTCTGTTTCATTTAGCACAAAGTGGCCCTCAGTTTTCACTTAATGATTTTAGCAGTCAATGATTGTTGCCTAGATCCACTATTCCATCATGGATTATAAAACGGTGATATATAAATTTTACCATTCTTTTTGTTTTATTAATTGGAATTCTACCAGTGATCAATTTCCCTCATCCACTAGTTACCTACAGGAACGGTGCTTATTTTAATAGCCAAGCTTATTCCATCTATCCACACTAAAAGAGAGGGAAAATATCCAAATGGCCTGATTTCAATTGCTGAGTCACTAAAGCACACGTTGAGCTCAGAGAAAGCTGTTCTCCCAAGTATGAAAACTGCTGAGCAGAACGGTTCACACCTTCACTCCAAGAAACAACTGCAGGAGCCCAGTAGGCACAGGCAAGACCACTGGCTGAATTCCAGTTCCAGGATTTGCCATTAACTAAAACTTAAGAAGAATTCTAGGTAAAGCAGACTTGCCTGATCATGAGAATTAACTGGAGGACTCGTTAAACATGAGTCCCAAGCATTCCTCAAGCCCTCAAACCTACAACAGAATCTTTGCAGGTGGGCCTGAGAAACTTTTGAAAACTCATCCTAAAAGGAGAGTATATCAGCTAGCATTGCTTGATGGAATACCGCTTAAGAAAGATCAAACTCTGCTGACTCTAAATTTCCATTTTTATCAGCTATCTATGGGTATATAAATTGTTTTAGTGAATGTACTGACCCTGGCAGAATCCTAGCTCCTGAGACACCCTTAGTAATTACACGGTATTCTAGCCTACAAACCTAAACTCTTTAAATTTGGTTATCATGACTACAATCCCCTGTACCCAAAGAGGAGGAGTTTCACTTATGTTTTTTGTTTGTTGTTTTTTTCAACTATGTTAACAGTAGACATTTATATCCCCCACTGCCTAGCATAGTGCTTTCTATATAGCAGTGGCTCCACAATTAACACATTAACTGCCATGTGAGTTGTATTTAACTCACGCTAGTTTTGAGCCCAAGGCCTAATGAAGCATATGTAACTGACACGTCTCTTCACCTTGGGAGCCACATGAAGTATTTTTCAAATTACATATAACTCACACACAGAAAACAATAAAAAAATAACAAGTTTTTAATTAAATTAGAAAGGATCATTTTGTTTTCAAAGTTTTTATTCTATTTTTGTAATGAAACACCATGACCCCAAGGAAAACATTTTTTTTTCCTAGTATGGCAGTCAATGTGTTAATGTTAAGCTTTCCCTATTTATTTATGTACGCACTTGTGATTTGATGAGCAAATCTACCCATAGAAGTACAATTCAGTCAGCCTATTATCAAAGTTTTTTTGTGTTTTTTTTAAACTTCCTGAACTATAAAATTTAAGACATGGCTGCACATTGGAATCCCCAGGAGAGCTTTAAAAAAAAAACAAACCCAGGTTTCACTCCAGAACAATAAGAGAGGCAGTGAAAGTCAGGTCACAGGATCTTTCCTGATCAGTGACTCCTAAGTTGCCCCAGTCAGGAGCCTAAAAGTCATTCTGATCCATCTCTATATCCTTTGATCCCATTAGCTAGCAGTAAAAGACTATCAGGTCTGTTCTCTCTCCGTGTTCCCCTTCCTCCCCCTCTGCTTCAGTTCAGACCCTTACATTTGTCACCTAGACCTCAGAAATAAAAAAAATAAACTTCCTATGGCCAGATTCCCCCTTTCAATCCACCCTCTAGTCATTTTTCTAGAATATAAATCTTAACATGTCACTCTCCTTAACTAAAGCTTAGAGTCTAACTTATTGCCTCGCACCACATGCATCCCACACTGTAGCCACACTTGCCCTCGCATGCATTGTTCCTTCTGCCTGAAGTGCCCTTCCTGCTGCATTCACCTAAGCAAGGCCTAGTATCTTTTAAGACACCATGCAAATGACACCTTCTCCATGGCCATTTCTTCCACCCTACATGGAGGTAGGCCTTTCCCTTTTCTGTGTTTCCCAAGTACTACATTGCTTTTATAGCTTTTTTTTACATCATGTTGTAACTCTCAGCTCTTCTCTGTCTCCCCGGGGAGGCGCTTCAATCATCCATTCAAGTACTTATTAAGCACCCTCTGCACCAGGTCATCTTCTCTGCATTGGGAACACAGTAATGAGCAAAACAAAATCTCTCCTCTCATCCAGCTCATCGTCTCCGATGGCAAATGGACAAAACATACTTCATAGAAAATGTCAGGAAGTGGTAGGCGATACGCACAACAATAAGGCAGGTGCTATTGTGCAAAGGATGGTTGAAGAAGTCCTCTCTTATTCAGTAATATTCGTGCGCAAATCTGACAAAAGTGAGGGAAAGAGCCAGGTAGAGAAGTGGAAAAGAATATGCAGGGGATGTGGATTACAGGCAGAGGGACCTGTAAGTGTGAAGGCCTCCTTGGAGACTTATTCACCTTTTTGTGCCCCATCACTAACCAGAGCCTGGCAAAAGTCCAATGATCACTGGGTGAATTATTGCTGAGCTCATGGCCTAGTAAGGATATCACTCCATTTCACCTCTAGTGGTTCTCTTCTGCCTGGAGGAAAAATACCCAAACTACAGAGAACACTGTATTTCTCTGCTGAGACTGCCCTACAAGTGGTCTTTTAAGGCCAGCTCAAATGCCACTCATCAAGAGTCCCTTCCATCTGTATTCTTATTGTTCATGATTTTTACTACCTCTGTGGTATATACCTATATCTATATGTATATCTATATCCCATATTGCTTTATGGGGCAAGTGTTTGCACACTTTTATCCCTCAAACTCTTGAGGATCAAGATCATGACTTTTTTACACAATTCTGTTTTTCACACATCACGTATCTCGGGGACTTGTGAATAAGGATAGCCCCCAACTGAATAACTGTATAACCTCTACCTAGATTAGCAAAATATTCAGAGAGGCCACATCCCCATCAAAGACTTTAGGAGGATGGAGAAGAGTCTATTTCTCCTTCCATGAAGACTTATTAGTAGTTGCCATAATAAGGGTTTTCATAATTATCTTTTATGATGCTGTCTCATGGGTCTCTATAATTTTTTGTGGCCAAGTAGGGAGGTTAGTCAAGTTCTCAAGGGAATTTCTAAAGCCCAAACAGATGCTTCCATAGCTGGGAGGTGGGGAGTAGGGACAGGGACCTGATGCTAATGGTGGGGATGAGTTATGTGGCCAGAGGGGCCACACCCAGTCATTATTCACTTTTCCCATCCTCCTCACAAGATGCTCCGCCTTTCCTTAGTTGAGCCTTTCTGCCAACTTTCTTCTTTACCCTCTTCCAAGAGTGGACAAACTAACCAAAAAAATGGAGGACAGATATAGAATTTTATTTGTTAGAAAAAAGACAAACCATATTAACAACCCCCTTCCCTACAATACAGAGTAAAGTGCCAACAGTTAAGGAAACAGGTATTGAATGGTGTGTCCTTCGCTGCAATATGCGGCAATGATTAGTGCCTAAACGAATCATACAGTCGCCGCATTGGGTAACTCACCGAGTATTAGTAAGACCATAAATTCGCTTCTAACTCATTGCAAACAGTCCCAGAAAGTAGAAACTAGGTAAGATCTGGAAACGAAGATTTAAACAGATTTTAAAGGGAGCAGAAGGGGAGGTAAAGTTATCTCCCAACGCCCCTAAATCCAGAGGCTCTTTATTGAATCTCTACCCCTGACTTCCCCCCACTTTCTCCATGTGCCCCTTTAATTCCTCTCTACCCTCTCCACCTCCTCCCAAGTCCTCGATTGCTTCCTCTGTTACCTGCTCCCTTAGTCTCGTGGCTTGGGCAAAACTGTGCAGCCCACGTGCCGGCCGGCAAGGAAGGGGTGCTGGCAGAGGACGCTGCACTCCGGTGCAGCCGGTTCCTCCTTGGGAGAAACGCGCACCGCCCTCCACGCGGCTCCAGAGCCGCGTTCAGATCCCCACTAGCTAGCCCCGCCCAGTCCCCGGCTAGGCCCCACCCCCTCGGCAAAGAGCTTTTTAGCCCTTGGCAGGCGCCGTAGTCTTCGTCCAACTGGCTCGGGGGACTCTTTCCGCGCCGGCAGGGAGTACGCGCTGCGGCGAGCCAGTGGGTGGGCGGGCCTACCGCTTCCCACGCCACGATACGGGCCTCTGCAGTCAGACCCCTGGGGTGGGCAAAGTGTCGCCTTCTGGGTCTCCATTCTGCCGCAGTGGCCCCTGCGCTAACGCTCCTCCGTGCTGCGGCTGCAGAGGCTGCGATACTCCGGGACACTCCAGCTAGCGTCTGTACGCGTCCTCCCTCCTCCAATTCCTCCCCCGCGCCTCCCCGCATCCTCCGCCCCCTCCTCGCTCTGCGCCTCCTCCCTGGCTGCGGGCAGACCGCTCCACACCGCCGCAGCGCCCAGTTTCTGGACCGCCCGTGGGAGACATACACGCCCACACCCACCCCACCCGGCCGCACCCGTGCCCAGCATGTCGGCGCTCGAATGGTACGCCCACAAGTCTCTGGGCGATGGCATCTTCTGGATTCAAGAACGCTTCTACGAATCTGGCAACCGCGCCAACATCTGGCTGGTGCGTGGTTCGGAGCAGGACGTGGTGATTGATACAGGCCTGGGGCTGCGGAGCCTGCCGGAGTACCTCTACTCCTCCGGCCTCTTGCAGGACTGCGGGGCCAAAGAGGATGCGGCGCGCCGGCCGCTGCTGGCCGTGGCCACCCACGTGCACTTCGACCACTCCGGCGGCCTCTACCAGTTCGACCGAGTCGCCGTGCACCACGCCGAGGCCGAGGCGCTGGCTCGCGGGGACAACTTTGAGACCGTGACCTGGCTGTCCGATAGCGAGGTGGTGCGGGCCCCCAGCCCGGGCTGGAGGGCCAGGCAGTTCCGGGTACAGGCGGTGCAGCCCACCCTCATCCTGCAGGATGGTAATGGGCCCCCACGGGCGCGCGCGCTCTCGTAAGGGAGGAGATTGGTAGAGACTGTCCGAGTGCTGCATGTTGCAGACCTGCGTGGCCATAAGGGGTGTTATTTTGACATCTTGCAGAACTACTTCTGTTTCACCCTTCCCTGAGTAAAAGCCCACTCGACCAGACCAAGGCCATCGCAGCCTTCTGTGTCAGAGAGCACTCTGGCACTGTGTAGCCATTCTGAGTACTCCTTTGAAAGCCGGCACCACCCCCATAGTCAGTTCCTGAGTCTGTTACAGTAGTAGCACTACCGAGACTTGTGACTAGAGATTGCCCATTCCATACTCAAGCGCCTGACATTTCCAGGCGCTTTAGTAGCAAGTAGGCTCTTAAGGAATGACGCTTCGCGGAGAGTGCATGTCATGCTGTGTGCTTTTGAGAGCTGCGGACTTGATCAGCTCAGTCACCACCGGGATGAGTAATTCCCACCTGTAGGCTTGGAAAGCCATATCAGAGCAGTGGTTCCAATCTCTCATGCATCCGTATCTTTCAGATAGGTTTCTGTTCTTGATGTCGCCTCACCAGGGAAAAAGCTTCATAGTAAACATAAAAGGAGAATATGTCTGAGTCTTTCTTTAATGACAGATACATGGTCTGATTGAAAGTAAAGCCTGAGATAGATTAATACGGTTATTTTCAGTGGAGATAAATTATGTGAACCAATACATAAGTAGCCTTGGTCCTTTGGCTCTGTGAAAGACAGGATGGGGTTCAGAGAGAAATTCATGGAATAAACAATGTAGAATAGGCCCTTAGCCCATTGTCCCCACGCAGGCACTTAAATAATTAGCCACAGCCCCAATAATTGGTATATTAATTTTCTATTTTTTTTAGAATACTTTTGATTTCATTTTATCCTCACAACACATTTGAAGTGAGACCACTGACCCTCAATTATATGGCTTGCCTAGAGTCCACGGAGCAAGATCATGGTAAAAGCTAGGATTTGAACCAAGGCACAATAAAATCAAAACATGCAGAACATACATAAATCTTACCCCATAAATATATTATGTTAATTCTGGGTAGAATGTGAAAGCCTTTTTTCTTTTCTATCTTGAAATCATTTTAATTTCCAACTTAGTTTATTAAAACATCTCTCTATATGGTAGAAGAATGGAGTTGCTGCATTACAGTGAGGGTCACTTTTTATGACCAAACAATATGGCAAATAATGAAATATTTTACAAAAATCAGTTTATCTTACAGATGAGATCTTGATCAGTTGACATATTAAAAAAGGCAAGATTCTATACCTCGTCCCCCACCCAAGAAGGCTCTTCATTAAAGTTTTAAATCTAAAGGTTAAAAAAATCTGGTTTAGATGGTAGTCATGCATTATCTGACAGTTTGAGATGAAAGAAAAGTACATGTACATTAAATTTTAATTTACATTAAATTAAAAGTACATTTACTTTTAAGTACTGTATTTCTTGATAAAAATAATACTTTTAGAGATAAGATTTCAATGCAGTTAATGGGTATTTAGACTAAATTCTGGCACCCAGATCAAAGAATGTGTTTATATTAGTATTAAATATATATTTAAATGGTTTAAAATAATAAATTACTTTTGATTTATTTACTTTTGATTCTGTGAGAGCAAGGGGAAATCAAGAGTGAAAGAATGGTTGGGATTATTTACACATGAAGAAAGGATCCATGCCATCCTGAATAACATGCCTGAGGACATAACAGCCCGTTTGGGAAAGAGCTGGGACTAGAACTGAATCCTAGTTGATGGTAGAATCCTAGCATTTTTGGAGCTGCACAGGGCCTGCAAATTACCTGTGTGGTGCTTTAAGCCTTTAAAGGTGTGAAAAGAAAGCTTAATATTTACCAAAAACTTTGAAGGTGATAGTACTTTGTTATCAAAAGTTATTTTTCGTTAGGAGCTGCCTGCTTCACCCTCTCAAGTAGTATATAATTTCCTCTCTTCTCAGGAATATTAATTTCCTGTATCTTCTGAATGACGTGGCCTGGTAACTTGCTATTAACATAATCTAGATGCCTGGGAGGAGACATAAAATATTTATATTAAAACTTCATATACAGTTACACACATGAACAGCATGTGTCCAAACAGCATAGACTTCATTGTTTTAGTTAGAACACAAGGAAGCTGAAATCATTTGTTTATTACATTTCATTTAGTGAATTGATCATCACCTGTCATGGAGAATCATAAATCTATGCACTGTATCTCTAACCAAAAAGCTGACTTGTATATGAGGGACAAGGAGGACAAGGAGAGAATAGCCATATCATCCAGTGCATTACCTTTGATGGAAAAACAGCTTACCCTGCTAATAGTGAGGTAGTATCTTCCTGTAAGATAGCAATAGACCTTAAATTTATAGAGCACATACTCTTGAATGGGCACACATCATTTTGCTTATATTTCACAATATTCAAGTAATACGAAGTATTGGCATTTTTAGCTATCCCTATTACACACGTTTAAACAGTTTGCCCAGAATCATTGCCGTATTATCTCAAAGGAGTAGTTTCAGGTGGACTTAAGTCATTTGGGGAGGTTAAAACAAAAAAAATACAGATTCTAGAAAGGTAGCAGACCAAACAGACACATCTAATTTGGCGCCCTCCCAAAGCCCCACCAATGCTGCTGTAAAGGGGACCGTGATTTGTTTAAGTGTAAGTCCTCACTGGCTGGGGGAACGGCACTGATGAAGTTGCTCAAAAGGCTCAGGAATTAGCAATAGCGGTTACCTCACTGGTAGCAAAGGGAAGAATATTAGAATAAATAGAATTGGTTAAAACCTTTTAAGAAGTAGTTAAAACTCTTGAACCCTTCTCCCTAAGTAAATCCCTTCCCCCCAATCCAATTAGCTTATTCTCTGGCGATAGTAAATAACAGGAGCTTCTTGATTGAAGGATGCCAAACACTATTGAGCTATTGAGTGCAGGGGTTCAGGAGGAACAGTGTGTGTGTGTGTGTGTGTGTGTGTGTGTGTGTGTGTGTGTGTGTATCTCCTACTATTTTCCCAGAAGGATGAGAGCCAGACCTTTACTTCTCTCATTGGAAATTAGAAAAATTTTATCTGAAGATTCTGCCCCCTAGAGGAAAGACTTTAAGATGCCAAGGTAGAAGAATCCCTAAGAAATCCTTGGCCTGTCTCTGTCTACTGTCAAGGTCACTAGAACCCATGCACATGCTTCAAGCAGCTTCTTTGTCCCCCATTCTTTATTGATGTAAATATTTATGGAGTTCAGGCGATATTTGATACATACATACAATGTATAATAATCAAATCATTAGGATATCTATTACCTCAAACATTTATCATTTTTTTGTGTTGGGAACATTCCTAATCTTCTCTTCTAGCTATTTTGAACTACACAATAAATTATTATTAACTATAGTTGCCCTACTGTGCTATTGAACACTGGAACTTACTTCCTCTAACTTTATATCCATTAACCAACCTTTCTTCATCCTCTCCTTTCTTTCCCAGCCTCTAGTAATGATTCTAAC